TGATTTCGAGGTAGCTTAATCAATCCATGTGATACCTGTGTCCTGAAATAATAAACATTATTAATGGTCTTGACAGTCATGTCAAAATGCGAAAATCGGATCTTTAATACTTCTATATTCATATCAATTCAACACTCTGATTTCACATTGGCAAGGTTCAACTTGGGATAAGTTGTAATCTTTTAATTTTTATCGGGTACAATGATCACTTTTCTTTTCTAAACGTCCACATTTCCAGCAGCATCGGTAAAAGTTTGTTGTGGTATGCGATAATCCCTTCATCTTTTAAAATTCTTATATCAAAAATCAATTTATTTTTTTATTTAATGTCAACCGGATTTAGACATCACAGCTAAAAGGCTTGTGGTGCAAATCTATTTGATAGGAAAACAACCCTTGACAAATGAAGTTTCTTTTAACGCCCAAACAGCTACAAATGTACTTGCTTTTGCTTTTGATAAAAAACGGATCTATTCTTTATTCCTTCCTTGTAGAGTCGACCAGTACTACATGCATGCGTATAAAAATACGAATAACTATTTATTGAACGTGTGATTTCATAGCATGGGATCTGTATTACCAGTTTTTCAGCGGCTATTTAATTTATTTAAAGTATTTGTATGCGTTCAAATATTAAATACATATCCCTCTAACCAATGTAAGTGAACACTACGAACGTGTATAAGTCCATTCTTGTGGGAGTAATTTTGAATCGAATGTGGTTAACTTCATTACGAAAAAAACACAAATATAAACCGTTTATTATTGGAGAATGATGCGATTTATTTTTCTCGTCAGGAAACGCATTAAGGCAACGCCTCTAGAAAAAGGACATTTTTCCGTAAGAAAAAACGCATCTTCACAAAATTTCGAGCCTACCGACTACATCCCCACAAATAATTGATGGAATTTGCTCTATAACCTTTACAAAGTGTACATATCTCAATCGCCATATCGAATGATTTTTCAGTTTGGGTAAAAGAAATGGAAATTGGCATACGTTAGCATGTACGAAACGGAGATATCTAATTTTAAATGTTCTTAATTTCTCGGATTACATTTCACCCCCCAAATTTTAGAAATTTCAAGTAACAATTATTGGGATGACTCTTTGATGGTTCTTTATCATTCCTGTTTGTATATATATATATATATATATATTAGAATATATTATTGTAAATATTGTAAATATTCTGATCACCCACAAGCATTGTCGATTCTGAGGAAGACCCCGACAAATTTGGAAATAAAACAAGATAGTTTGCATAAAATGCATATGTCCAAAGCCTGTCGAAGTCGAACACCTTCAATACGTGCATTAATCAACACACACACACACACACGCACACGCACACACACGCACACACGCACCGCATGCACACATACACGCACACGCATCCATGCACACACTTCTATGTATAAATATAATTCAAGCAGTAGAAACGTGTTTCTTCAGATGAGTGTTTAAGATACCTTGGACTGACAGAATATCAAATAAAGAAGTGGTCAATAAGGCATGTGTCGATATATATCCCTCCTTAACATCGTAAGGAAAAGAGATCTCCAGTTTGTTGGGCATATTATGAGAAGAGAAGGCACATATAGGATGCACACAGGACAAAAATGAGGAAAAGAGAAGCAGAGGGAGCCAGTGCATCCAATACAAGTTTAGGTTCATTGGGCTGACTGGTAACAGAAGTAACGTCGCATTATAGAACCAGAGATATAGAGGTAGATGGAAAGCCTTGATCGCCAACGTCTGGAACAGACAAGGCACCCATCAAGCAATAGATTCTTCGTATAATCATTAGGTTTAAAAAATTTAGTCAGAAAAACACTTTTCTTATATTTCCCGAGATTGTAATATTTGAATGACATTCACACACTGAAACATCTCTATTCCAAAATTCTTGCAAGGTTCGATCTTTTTTTTAAACTATTCTATTTTGTATTTGAAAAAGTATGATGGTAGATGGTTTTCCAGTATGTACCATATATCAGTTTTATTTGTTAAGTTAGGACATTAACAAAAACTGTTTTTTTAATTTCGGATGCCTGGTTTAGAACGGGCCCATCACGGCCTCTCCAGGTTGAAGTGTTTTGGAAAGTTAAAGCAAGTGTAGGAGTTTAGCCTTGATTGTAGCAAGTTATTGAAATGTAGAAACCCAAAAGAAAAATTGAAATCGACCTAATGCTTATAACTTCATCAAGTATAATTACTTTAAATTATCAAATTGTCTCACTTTCCCTTATTTCTCCGTACATTTTATACATAGTGATTGTATATCTTCATGATATATGCCTATTTTGGGTGTGATATTCAGACTATTGCATTAAGTCGTCTATATTTTCAAGAGATTATTTCATTCAAGAAAATAAGTTTAGAGCTTGGGTTGCATTTTGGCTTCAAAACTTAGACTTGGGTTTAAAGGAATTATGTAAGGATATTCATAAACGGTATTCAGACTTCGAATTTCCCCTACTTGATCTATCACTGTACGGCGCACTACTTTTCGTCAGCATTCTGTTATCGATTGTGTCTCTCTTGGAGTCTCTTCTGGTTTTGATATTTGGAATTTAGTCTACAGTTCATTTGTACTAATACTATCACGCTGGTTCTATATTTCATGCATTCTTAATTTGCAAGACTGAGATTATTTTGAGTTTATCCTAAAATGTATTTTTGGCTGCTGTTGAATGTCATCTCTCCATTTATTAGCCATAATGCATGGATACAAGCGTATCAACAAACATTTGAAGTGAACAAAAACAGCATGTTGTAAAAACGGAAACCTTATCAACTAGGATCTAACCTCCAAACCTTTTTTTATCAGATTTTATAAAGAGTGGAATGCCATAAGCATTAATTCGCACGATTGTAGAAGTTGAGAAAGCTTATCATCGAAATCCGTTTGAGCCATGGCAACAGAATGTCTCAATTTGATACTCATCATCTCGCTAATCGAAATTAATCGCAGCATCGACATGGATTACTCAACTATCCAATATTTAAGTATGGTTTACCTTGAAAAAGTACCACTAAGCTTTTATTGCTAATTGTGGTAAGCGAAACGATAAACGCACTATCAAATCCATTAAAGCGTGCTATCATCACTGCCAGTTTACATCATCTCTTTAAAAACAAAACACTTCCGATGACAAAATAAAAACTCGAGTAGAATTCCCAATCTTCGCCTCTGAGAGTGGAATAAAATGATTTGATTGCTATTATGCCATTGAGAGTAGATGGTGTTAATGATTTTCATGACATCATTGCTCGCATCCAGTCATCGGATACACCATTAACCAAAACAGGTCCACTCATTAGTAATGGTGAATCAAATGAGTGGATCTGTTTTGGTTAATGACACTAATTAGAAGGGGTAAAGAACCTTCGGATATTGTTTTCGGCATACCATCGAATTTTTCTCAGAGTTACAGCTCATAATTATGGTCAAACTGGAAATGATTATATATTTGTTTTTCATCTTTTTTTGTTTGTTTCACTCTTAGTGTGTCATCAAACAAATTGCTAAGAAGACATGTAACACAAACTGATGAATTTTGAAATCTTTCGAAAGCAAAGAAATAAAACATAAACAAATCGCCGGGTGCGTGCGCGTGCTATAGCATGCGTTAAGGAAGACATTGAAGTATAAGCATCATTACGAAGATTAACACTGTAATTCTCTCACAAGCCTTAATCAGAGACTGTGTCCTTGTTAAATCGTATATTAAAAAAAAATAGATTGGAAGAAAGAGGATTCTAATCAAATATGCCACAAACCGTAAATATTTAAGCTCAGAAACCATTTAAAATCACTTAAAGGTATTGTTGAACATGTTTCCAGTTTTACAAATCTGAGATGCAAGGCCCTACGTGTTATCAGTGTCTGTGATATGGTGTTATATTCAAGCCCTAAACGAATTGTGCTTCAAAAATGTAAAAATCATTGAGTGACCGGTTTTACCATTCTCATTTTTCCCAATAGACTGAAGTGTTATAAAAATCATAGGAAATACAGTTTTTGAAATTTCTAATTCCAATCATAACTATCTTGATAATCAGACAGGCGATCGGCTTGTTCCTGACTGACCTAAAGGTTTATAATTATGATTGCAGCATGAGCTAAATCCAGAATTTTTTTTAAGAATCTGAGTCAAAGATACCCAAATCCTTTAAAGAAATATACCATATATTATTATGAAACGGAAGACATTGAAGAACACATTGCCCTACACGTGATTGAAACAAATAGTGTGAGGTTTGATAGGTGACATATTTTGAGAAAATAGAAATGACAGAACTTCAGCACATCATAATCCGCTAGACTTAGTTACAAAAATCCAGTAGCTGTGTCTCAACGGCTCAAATTTCCGCTCGTTTTATCGGTTAAAAACGCAAATTTAATGATGATCTCGATAACATTCATTCAAAAATTTGTAAATGAATAATCATAGCTTAATAATTTGAAATGCAGGGAGCCTAACACACTATTTTAAAAAAAATTTGTTTAAGGACATTATCATGTAACAAAATATCTTACATTTAGGATTTCCGTATCAGTAATTTGAATCAGGTGACTACACAATAATAGGTGTGAATAGATAAAAATCAAATTGATTTTATCGTACATTTTGCATCATATTATTTTGTTTCCTGCAAAAAGCCTTTGTCGGCCTGAGTTCATAATTATGAATGTCTTCCATCCCATCTTCCGACCTCTCAATAAAATGTCAAAAGGTTTCGCCGTTTATGATGGCATCTCTCTACCCGACGTATGATGTTTAAAAATATCTGATGTCTATTCTGTGATAGACGTCATAACAGCCACAAATCAGTTTGAAAGGCATTATCTATTTAATTTCTGCTGTCATTGTTATGGGTGAGTGTGTATGCGCGTTAGTGTGCACGCTTCCGCGTTGCATAGGTTGGGCGTGACGCCACCGCGCCAACTCTAGTTGTTAACCTCTTCATAAAGTCACTCACGTTCTTACGTTCGATTTGTCGTCAGGCCACGTCCACTATAAATACCGGCGGCTCGCAACACATCGCTGATAAAAGGCGAGATTTTTGGTGGAAAGTGTGCGTTTGATTAAACAAAGAAGAGGAAAGACAAAATCTTGCAAACGAACATCGAAAAAAACACGCGCATGACTGACTTAGAGTTCATTTAAGGTATTTTAGGAAGATCTTTTTCGATTGCATTAATCCTGCTTTCTGCAGTTACATTTTTCTATTCTTTTCGTGAAACTCGATACGCTATAAAATAAAGCAACGAACCCTCAACGCAAGAGCTACTTCTAGCTCTAGTTGAATACTTCGTCGAAGCAAACTATCGCTTGCCACCTTTTGGAAGAAAGGAAACTAAGAGTTATATCCACTGGACATCATGACGACGTCGAAAGCGATGCTGACAGGCAAAAGGCCGAACTTGACGAGCTTGTGGTCATGGTGTCTTGTTGTCCTCACAATTCTTGCAGCCTGCAACGTTGGTTTTTCAGAAGCACAGCGGTATAACAGGATATTTGGACCTATGCGTGAGTACTGGTATCTTTTATTCCAACTCAATACCAAGAGTTAAAAAAAAAATTAAAGAGACCTGTGAAACAATTCCCTTAGTTTCACATTTTTCCTTTCTCTTGTGCCATAAAGTTTCAAAGGATTTACCATGAGAGTTCTGGTGTGTTATTTTTCACGATGCTTATAATTGGATAAGAAATTGATGATTTTTGTTTTACTTAATAAGGGTGTTTTTTTTTCTTGCTATTCTGCTATCATACCGGGGATTAAATGTATTGTTTTTCTAAAAATGAAAGCTTGTACTTTCGTCAGAGTGGAAGAGTGTAAACTGGTCTTGAGAGGGTGCATAATGAAAATGATGTTCTTGCAGATAGAAATAAATGTTTATATTTTCATTTTTTTTCTTGGAACAAAATAAATTAAATTTCGGCAATACTAGATCGTTTTTGTTTTTTTGTTTTTTTTGTTTTTTTTTTGTGGGGGGGGGGGGGTTATAGGGAGGTGTGGAGTCGGTTTAGCGGTGTGAGTAAGGATTTAGCTTAAAGCTAATCTTGAGCTCTGGTATGGGAATCGTTGTTTGAGAAAAAAAATTATGATATCTTCTGGATTGTCTATCCTGCAGTAGATTGGTTGTTTGAACCAGTGAAATAAAACAAGCGCACAAAAACTTGCTGGGCATCATCTTTGATGAAAACTACAACTCCTATTTGAGCACATGGTGTCGGGCCAACTTACCCGGATTTCCTTATCTTTCTATGCTCATTAGTCAGCCACTCTATATCTTTTACCAACAATTTTTTGGCACATGTCATTTTTTTGTAATCTTGAACATTCAGTGTAAGTTTCGTTGGATTCGGTCAGAATTTATTTATGTATTTGCCAAAACTAAAGTTTATCTTTAACTACCAAACAATATAGAAGTGATGTGGAATACATTTTCTGTCAGTAAACGATGAATGCATTTACCACTTGAGGTTATGAATAGGGAGGGGTTTATGCCGTGTCAGCATGATCCATCATTATCATTCGGTGGCAATGGATATTAATCACGTCGTAGACATTCTAACCGAACGATAATAAACCAGATACCATCAGTGCTTTTGTTGTACGATCCTTGACCAATAATCTAATTTGGATTACTTGACCAGTTGCGCCTTCCCTGTAATTGGAGATTGCTCCTTCGACACACAAATAATCCAAACGATAAAGAAAGTCTGCAATAGAATTAACGATATTTTAAAAGTAATAATCTCAGGTTAAGATCATATCATATTTACAAATGCTGAAGGATGGTGGACAAAGTGTAAAGTAGATTTCGAAGTACAGCAGGCGATAACATAAAATTCAAGTTTCTTTATAAAAAAATATGTGGATCTTCTTTTTATGCAGTGGATTTGGAACCTTCGTTATTGCAAGAGCGCTAAAATTATAATATGTTTGTCATCTAAACAGCACAACCCTTCTTTCTCTCTCTCTCTCTCTCTCTCTCTCTTTCTCTCTCCCTCTCTCTCTCTCTCTTTCCCTCTCTTTTTTTTTCTCTCTCTCTCTCTCACTTCTCTTTCACCCTCTCTTTCTTATCTCTTTCTATCTTGATATCCCCTCATCTTTTGTCCTTGTACCTCATCATTCCCTACATTTTTTCAATCTCTCTCTCCTTTCTACATCTTAAAAAAAGAAGCAGGCTGATAAATGAGATATTGTTGCTATGCCAATAGATTTCGTTCATGAACATTACCAAGGAAGTGAATGCTTAAGTCAGTTTCGAGATGAATTTTAATTACACTTTCAAAACAGAATGCTACTATAACATCGATATTATGATGGCGATCATTATGACTTAATTAATAAGGATATTGGTATTCATCTTTGTTTATCTTTAATATTTCCCGTCGAAAAATATATATATAGCAGTGGGATCTAGAAATTAATGGAGGGGCGGACCATTCCTGGAAGACAGCCCGGCGCACAGTAGTGCAATGCAAGTACTATTGATTTTTCTATCCTGGGTATTTAGACTGTGGAGAGGAAGCACACACCGTTTCGTAGATACGTCATTAGACAATTTATTACCTAGGAAAAGAACATTTCCAGTATACATCAGATCAACAAAATAATAATAGAAACGTGCGAATTACCAAGAAAAATCAACTAATGGAATTTATCACTTCCGAGTGCAAACATATATTGAGTTATACGATAATTGCCAAAAGCTAAGGAAATATTAGAAAGGTACATTATGAGACAGAATGGATAATCAGAGACAAGAAACAAATTAAAGTAGGAAGGATGGGTGGGCAAATATTGTATTGAACACGCAAATTTACATTAGTCATTGTAGGAAAAATTGGCAATAACGAGAGCCTGTAATTTACTCCTAAGTAAACATGGCGTTTGAATTAACTTTGCGCAATGTTTGAAGAAATTTGCGAACCGTCAGACATTCCTCCGTCGCGTGGTAACTGAATGAGAGAAAGATGAATTGGCTATACCTCTTACAATGGAAGCTAAATACGGACCAATGGAGTATATCCCAATGAAAAGGGAAATGAGGCGCTTAAGGAAGGCGACGCCAATTATACCACGGCCTTATGAAGATAGTAAATGAGTGCGCGTGCGTGTGTGTGTGATTCGCTTTTCTTGATGCGTCATTGGTTGAGTTTCATGGTATAGTACTTTTCGTATTACGAAAGGGAGGTTCGGAATAAATTTGTTTTGATATTACGTGTGGAAGAAGTGGATTTAGTTTGATTGGAATGTTATTCCGGAAAAAATTAGTAACAAAAGCCGGAAGGCTGGGGTTCCGTTTCCTTAGTAACCCTTCTCCATGCAACAGGTTGGAAATCAAAATAGTCTTGCATTAAATACTGTGGATAGTTCATCATATTTTCTCTCTGTTGGTTCTTAATATTCAGTCATATTAGACTTCTCCTTATAAAATTCACTTTTCTAAGCTTTTATGATACGACAAATAAATTTTACTAATTCAACATGAGGAAGTATTAGTTTAATTTAACGCCATGTAAACTATATCTGTTACAAAGCAAAAAAATAAAGAAAAAATTCTTTAAACATGATAACTAGCAGAGAAGCAATCCAACTCTGAAATAACGCAACATTATCTTATTTCTTTTCTAGGTTCTCCGAATCAGAAATTGTCATCACCTTTCAAACTTTTTTGTTTTTTTTATTTATTTCAAATTTTCACAATAATATTTTATTGACTTTCTGATACTTCCTTCGTATTCTATTCATGCTTACTTTGTAAATGTCTAACGTGACAATGAAGGAAATGAAGTATTATTATTATCGTTGAAATAATCACTTTGCAGTGTTTGATGAATGACAGATGGTATAGGTATTGTGCGGAGGAATATATACTTTTTATGACTTAGAACCCATGTTACATTTCATACATTGTGTGTAAATGCATAGAAGAAATACAAGAATAATCGACTTCATATTCGGTGTTAGGTTGAAAGATTAATTCAATCAGATAATTAAAAGAGATGTAGGCCGGCTAATACAAAATTATCAGGTCAAATTGTTTTAGTCCACCCGAATCCACATTTATAAAAAAAAAACATTATGTTTAAGGCCAGGTTGTATGGACAAATTTGAATTCGGTTTATTGTTGGAATAGATTGTCGAAGAGCTTTCTAAACAAGCAATTAACAACAAAAATCTGAGTTAACCGACAAGAACTACATCCCCCAAGAATTTTTTTTTTTTTTTTTTAAATATTTTTAAAGGTACCTTGGGATAATAAAGATAGAAATAGCCGCCCTATAAATAAAGTAATATGGAAGGGTTAGAGTAATCTAGTGGACAGAATGTTAACAGATAAAGGGATGGAACAACATTAGATAGAATGATCTTTACAAAGGCCATGAAATGAGGAAGGCCGAAGTATTTGAAGCATGTAAGTATACGGCTTCATTATACTCCTACACTAAACGGACATGCCTGGAAGGACGCAATTCTCTCAGGGTAAATTTGTCCGGGTGTGGGTGTGGGTGTGGGTGAAGGCAAAGGCTCACGAACAACCCATATTCATACAACCGTCACTAATGTATAGGGTATAAATACTTGTCTCTAAGTATTTGCAGCGAATGGACAACTATCTCCAGAATAAATAATATCTTAATATGCCCAGAAAAAAATGCTCCACATGAACCAAATTCGATACGGTTCTAAAAATTCATTTTTAGGTTATATTTTTATTCAAAAAATGATGAAAGGTCTGATCAGGGGCATGCGTACGGAAATATTTACATTACAAGACATGCTATATAGTATATACATCCCTGTTTAATGTCAACCGGCACGTATGAAACTTTATTATTACAAACAATCACACACCTCTGCTTGTACTAACACCTGTTCAATTCCAATAACCTGAACGAAGACAAGAGCTGCACGACACTTTGGATGAACTTTGAGAGTAGATACTGCCTCACAACACTTAATTATATCCCTCTCCGAGATGTGACATGATATTAAAAAGGTGTACATTTGACAGAGAGTGATGTTCATGAAACTTCATGACGAAATTGAGAAACACCCTTCCAATGTCGTGTTGATAACATTATCACAATAGCAAGGGAGACAATGAAATTCCGTTTTACGTTCGGTGTAGCAATTTCTAAGCGCCATTTTACAAGACCTAAAAAATGAGAGGAAATCATGTGTTGATTTACAAGCGATGTGAAATAAAATATTTTGACCTTAACATGATGATAACCCCACCTTTTAGGAAAAGAGCATCAGTTTTGATGTGTAATATCTTTCCATCAATTTAGCAATCAATAATGAAAAAAGGGATACAAATTATTTTGAGGTTTTCCAATAATGTACAGTTGACTAGTGATTTTTTTTAATTAGTTCTCTACCGAGAGAGCATTTGACATGATTAATGTCGTTATCCGAGGAAAAACATCTAGCAGCTATTGTAGAGACTACAGATTGACGAATTTTAGCTAGTTTAAACTTTGCATAATAGTCCTGGTGAGCAAGCAAA